CCCCCCCCCCCCCCCCCCTCTTTTTTGTCCCTCGAATCCCAGATTCTCTTAAAAGACATGTAAGTATCAAAACGCGTATCAAAGTATCGACAGCAAGCGCTCGCGCAGAAGTCAGAGCTACACGAATATATAATATCTTTCAGCATCAAATTCCAAAGGGCAACCTTTCAGCGAGCCAGGCGAGAAATATCGGCCCAGACAGGTGAACAGCACAGGGGGCAGGGAAAAACAAAACAAGCGTCATCTACAGCGTAAGACTGGAGCGATTTGGGGGGAACGGCCTCGCTTACTATGATTTTTCTTTGAAAAAGTATTAGGGCCTATACAAATCGCTACCTTAGAATTACAAAGTTCTATGTCACATTTTTGGCCGTTTTGATTAACTGAGACCATGAGGTCAGAAACCGAAGTGTATTATCATCTATCTACTCTATCAAAACTGTAAGATTATTCGGAATCGTTATCAAGATATTCAAAGATCTGCATTCGAAAAATCTTGACATGTGACACTCAAAAAAAATTTTTTACGTACATTTTTTTCAAAGCTGAGCACTGAGCATATAGAACTCTGTAATTCTACAGTAGCGAAATGGGGCCATTAAAAACAAGACGTTCTTTTTATTGAGGAGAAGAGGGTGGGCGACTACCGTGTAATCCTGTCCTAACTGAAATACAATCGAATCTGCTCTAACCTGCCCAAGACAAATCTTCTGTACATTTGGCCACTTCCTGCCATTCCCCTCCCTATCTCGCGTATTTTCCCACACCATAATATATCATTATCATAATGACTCTGTCTAAGATATCCCTTGTCTAAACGACCACTTTTCTCCTCGACAATGGGTGGCTGTCTTGGACAAGTTCGGCTATCAGTCTCAAACAGGAGCACCACAAACAAAGACAATCTCCCATCACCCGCCGAGGCTAAAAAAAAAGGAAAAGACGAGAGAGAGAGAAAAAATGGCTGACTGGTTTTAGTTTTAGCCTTAATTTTACATCACTTACAGCAAAAATGGGTAATAAAATAAGTGCTGAGAATTACAGGTACAGATCAGGTACAGAGCTACATACAAAGAAAAGAGGAAAGGGAAATAAGGAAGATAGAGATGTTTGATAAGAAACGTGGAGCAAATCCCACCAGAGCACCCGCCAAACACCCACTTCTGAT